TAGTGTTTGTGCATATGTAGGTGTCTACCCAAGGGAAAAGAAGCAAATCAGGACAAATCGACCAAGTGTAGATGTTGCATCCGATCGAGCAGGAGGATCCGAGCCATGGAATCGATCGAGTGTTAGATTGGAACAGAGAAGCAGCTCGACCAACCATTCGATCAGCTCATCCGACCAGACCAATTGAGTACACGACCAAGCAGACCGATCGAGCACCGTTAAACCGACTTTCTATTTTGTCTGCTAGTGTTTTAGGGCTACCTTAACTTGCTATAAAAAGGCTCTTTTCCTAATGACTTATGATCTCGAGTCGTATTAGGGTTTTTCTTCATTTTGTTTTAGAATTTCTAGAATCTTGTAAACTCCATATATTTTTATCTATTGAGTATTTTCTGTTGCTTCATTGTATTATCTTGCTCCTTAGTTCATTATCTACTATGCATGATTTAGAGATTTATGGGTTTGAGTTCTTAAGTATGTTTGTTAGATCTTAGTAGAGTCTTAAGGTTTTGGAGATAAGTTAGATGTGTAGGTGGAGAACTTTAGGTAGCTAGGTTGCCCATAGTTAGGAATGTTTAGATTTCTTTATATAAACTAATCCCAATTTGATTAAGTGGTGATTAGTTCTCAGGCTTCCACGCCCGAGAGGTGTTCAATTAAAAATTAACTCGAAATTAAACAATTGGATACTTCAAAATTGGATATTTAATTGAGATTGGATATAAATCGGATACTTTCCCAACATATTATATTATTTCCATATCTAGATTTTGTATTTCCTAATATGTCTATAACTAATTTAAAATAAGAAATTATAAACATTTATTATTCTCTTTCACATTTTTGTAAGTATTTTAATTTATAATATTAAAATATATAATATAGATATAATTAAAATTCACCTTATTTTTGAATATGTTGCAATTTGAATTTTTCAAAATGGATATATATTACTCAATTGAAAAAGAAAATATCAATATAAACTTAAAATTTTGTTAAAATAAAGTTTGGATATCTAAAATTGGTTGTTTAAATATATTTCCTAATTCTAAGCGGGCTGGTTAAATATTTTAATGATATTTTATATTATACTTTATTGATAAAAAAGGTGTAATACATAACACATCAATTAAATATTTAGGACAATGGTTTTAAATCATTATAAACATGATCAATATGCTTCTAACTATGAATGAGCATGAAGTTAGAGTTATTTATATGAACATATAAAATTTGAAAAAGTTTCAAAATATTATATTTTTCAAATATTTTAAAAGTTTAAAATATATTGAAACCTTTAAAATATTCAAATATAAAAACAAATATTTAAAATATTAGAAACGGGTCAGAATATTTTTGCAACGGGTCAAAACATGATACACACCACTTAAATTTTAAAATTAAATGCTTTGTAATACCAAAAAGAAATAATATGCAAAATTGTTCATTTTTACGGGTCTTAAATAACATAATTAAATCAAATTTTAACAGTGGTACATACAAAGTCTTATTAACGAAATATACTACTCAAATATTGAATTAATCAAATTTATAATACGAATAAGTTTTACTAGTAATTTACAGGGTTATTTTGTTAAACTCGTAATTATATAGTAGAGCGAGTAATCAATAACATTTTTACGAATGCAATTTGTTACAGATTGGTACATTCAAAACATATATCCATTACAAATATGTATGATTCACCATAATCAACTTCAGTTATTTAACCCAGCTTCATGCACTAACCATACTCACTACTGTTTTTGGATAATATTCAATACAAACTTGTTCGAAAAAATAGTTACAAAAATAGCAAATTCATAATGTAAAATGATATATTTGTAAAGAAAACAAATCTTAAAATACATTTATACCTAGTAAATTATTTTTTTTAATAATAGTCTGATAACTTTCCCCCATACTGTAGCGCGGGTTCGATTCTAGTTATAAAGAAGACCAACTTGCTCCAAACTACGAATGAACAGTAAATTTGATTTATCAGGCATCCAAATTTAAAACTTTTATTTGATATAATCCGGTTTTAAGTTTGAACAAATTAACACTTTCAATAGCTTCAAAATATTATAATATTAATAAATGTAAAAGGTTCATATATTATAATTATTAAAAAAATTTAAATGGTTCAAATATTATAAATATATAAAATAATTTAAAATTTTGTAACGGGTCAGAGTATTTATTACATTATTAATAATATTGCAACAGGTCAGACCATGATACACACCACTCACGTTTTACAACCAAATACTTTGTAATACCAAATCTTACATAAATACAATTTTAAATTATATAGAAAATTATTCACTTTTACTGAATTAGGGGTCCTAAATTAAAAAAAAATCAATTTAACATTATGAATAGTAGTGTTAATATAACAAATTATATACGTCTAAATTCTATTTTTTGTTTAGTATACACGTATAAACTCTAAAATTACACTATGGCTTTAATTTGGTTGCTGCTTTAGAGTCTTTCTACAGCCATATTTTTTCCAAAGCTACAAATTTACAGCAATCAAACTTTATAAATTTTGTATTTCGTTTTTTGATTCACAGCCAAAATATTTCCTTAGTTATTGTTCTTTGGCTGTACAAAGCCATTTTTTCTAAAGCACATAGTTTCAGCTTTCCAGAAACTTAATTCCTACAGCCCAAATACTACAGAAACAAATCTACAGTCATAGCCAAAAATTCTACAACTCTAAATATACAGACAAAAATCTAAAGCTACGCAGCAACCAATCAAGGCCTATATTTGTTAGTTTTCCTCAAACCCCTTACAATTTTAAACACATACCCTCTTTCAAAAACTATATAAACTTCTACATAGAACACCATTAATCAATCTTAACATAATACGATTTAGATTATAAAAACAAAAATCAGATACTTTTCCTCCGCGCTTTAGCACGGGTCCTTACCTAGTGTCTAATTGATTAAGATGTTCAAAAGAAAAGGAATTTTTATGTTTTGTTTCACAACTATCAGGTTAAATATATTTTGAAGGATATTAAAAAAGATTTTGGCTCTATTATTTCTTCATTACAACAGTAACAAATTTTATCTTTTTTAATAAGAGTTAAAGTTTATTTCCAAGAAAAACTTAACGTTGGGAAATTTGACTCTATGTTGTATCAATTTTTTTTTGTTTTTATACTTTTGAAAACAACGAAGTCGTTATTCTTTGTTAACTTAAATTTAACAATATATCTAAAACGACCGGGTCCACAAAACTTATCTATTTTTCAATAAATTATAACTTTAACTTTTAATTAAAAATCAAGATCATTTATATAAAATAATATTTATAAAAATACTTTGAAGTTTCTATAAGTGTTAAATTTACAATACAGGAAAACATGTTGAAATTTTACACTAAACTGACGGACTACAAATGGACTGATGCTAGGTCCGGTTTGTTTTCATCATATTTAAATTTAACACTTACATTCAATAAAGGGAAAAAAAAACATTTTGGTGAAATTAAAATTTAAAACTATTTACTTGAAATTTATTTGGTAAAAACTTTTATATTTAGTTTTAAATCTTAAAAATAAGAAGTTAAAAAAAAAAAACTTTTTGTATATTTTTTTGTCAACAACTTTCATATAAGACTCAAATGAGCCAAAAGGAAAGAACATCGTTTACATAAAGACAAAGTAGCGGTTCAGAACGCACATGGCGTGCTAACTTATCCGCCTTAAGATTAGAACAACGAGGAGCTTTTCCTAAAGAGAAAAAAAAAACACTTCCTTATCTGCTTGAATCTCCTCTAGATATGTCGCGAACGCTGGCCATTCTGCTGGGGAAGACACCATGTCCACCAAATCTGAGCAGTATGTAATGAAAAGTCACTTCACTTCGAGATGCGTCAAGCATATACTACATCGCCCAAACCAAATCTTCAACCTCCGTATGTTAGAATGAAAGACTCCTTCGTAGATTAGCCGCACCCATTGTTGATGAGCCTCTCGGTGCGGTGCAATACCATCCTACTCCGGCAAAATTATTAGCTATTCATTCTCTAGACATTAAACATTCATAATAATTAATAATAAAGTCTAGAATATCAAATTCAGAATCAAGAAAACATAGGACTTTTACGAATACCTCTCGCTTGATCAGGTCTATTTCAGAAGACCTAAGGTCACATATGTGGCTAGTTACATAAACTAATAAAGAAGAGAAACTAAAGAGAGACAAATCTTACTTACTTAACCAAACCACTACAGGAGATGGCTATGGCTATATTACTATTTGAACACCAAGAAATCCATGTTTTGATTCTCAAATTTTGATGTTGAAGAGGTTTTTGTTTCCAGGATTCAATGTGGAGACTGTTGAATACAAGAACATCAGCTTCACTGTTTGGGATGTTGGGGGTCAGGACAAGGTATACATTTTGAATTCTTGCCTAGAACATAGTGTAGTGTCCTCATAATTCAAGTACTGATATTTTGTGTTACCTGGTTGTATGTATCATGAAACACCTGGTTTTTTTAATTAACGCGTCCATTATCTATGAGTGTTTTTTTTTTTTTTTTTCTGGTTATTTGACATTATGAAAATAACTTCCTTGAAAAATAGATTCGTCCTCTGTGGAGGCACTACTTCCAGAACACTCAAGGTCTTATATTCGTCGTTGATAGCAACGACAGGGACCGAGTTGTGGAGGCGAGGGATGAGTTACATCGCATGTTAAATGAGGTTAGCTTTCTATCTGGTGTTCTCTTGTATCACAGTAAGACGCGAACACCTTTCTATAGTCTGAGCTGAGGGATGCTGTCCTTCTTGTGTTTGCAAACAAACAAGATCTTCCCAATGCAATGAATGCTGCTGAAATAACTGACAAGCTTGGTCTTCACTCTCTTCGCCAACGCCATTGGTAAAGTTATCTTCTTTCTCGAACTCTGTCCTTAATGTGGTTAGGTTGATCACACTGTGTGGTGGGATTTACCTTATGTTTTTCCTTCTAACAGGTACATTCAAAGCACTTGTGCCACATCTGGAGAAGGTCTATATGAAGGCCTTGATTGGCTCTCCAACAATATTGCTGGCAAGGTATATAACTAATTACTGCTTTTTGTAAAACTAAATATAGAGTAAAAAGGAACACTCTTTTCAAAGTATTGATGCCCTTAAATAACAGCCTTAGAGGTTTTAGGTTATATGCAATCATAACCGGGTAGTTTGTTAGATTGAGGGATAGAACTCTCTTAGTTGAGTCACCAAACGGTTGCAAACCCCATGGCTGTAGAAGCCCCTGCTTTATGTCTTGAGATCACGGATGTTTCAGCTATGTTTATGCTCTTACTTGAAACCCACCGTTTCAAACTCTAGCAATGATTATATATTCATGTACTGTATGTGCTATAATCTTTGCTGGTGAAATATGATTCATGAATATTGATCAAACCTTCATTTTGATTGAGTAGGCATGATGAAACTGCTGGAATACATTTTGCACTTGGAAGAGACCATTAGTCATTGTGGAGCAGAAAGAATGAAGAAGAAAGAAGTATTATGTCTGATTTTACAACAGTTTATAGTATATTAGTATCCGTTGATGTTTGCGTCATTGTGTGTGCGTGTAGTTTTCTAAACCAACCTCAACTTTTTTACTTGTTAAAAACGAATTTGTGATAGTTCTCGCTTTTACCGTTTTTTTTGTAATTGTAAATAAGCTTATGAAACTGCTCTTCGTAAAGCAGTAGATATGTCATATGTTACCTTTTTCCGTATAGAATGTCACAACGTATTCTATCAGTTTTTAGAACGCTTAATAAGCACATAGCGCATGATTTTGCATACATTGGTTTAAAGTCCCACATCGTAAACAGACAGAGAAAGACAACGAACTCAAGTCATATATAAGATGGAGAGAGGCATCATCAACAAATCACGGAGCCGTGCGATAAGCACATAGCGAACTATTCTTTCGCCTTTTACTAAAGAATACCGTGTGCTTGTCGTCCTTAGCGGCATACGCCTATTTTTGGAGGGTTATCTCTTATTGAGATCAGCTCTATCAATCATTAAACTTAAAATTTCTAATTAAATTTATTATCCTCTTCGATTAATCGATAAACCTATATAACTTGTTAGCGGTGGTGTGAGCTTACAGTTTAATACTTACGCTAGTCCCACATCGGAGAGTATTTGTGAAACAAATCCAACGTCTTGCTTTAAAAGGGACTCGTAAACTTTGAGATAAAGCATACCTTTCTCGGCCTTTTGGCTAAGATCAAGTGTAGTATCTGTTCTTATCAGTTTAATATCTGATATGTGAATCATCGATCCACTCGATATTAACTCAATTTTTTTTGGGAGTGAGCCATCGAAATAGCTTGCTGTTTGTGCTCACGTTCGTCGCCCATGCGTTGCACTATTGCAAGGGCTTGGCGTATCCCACCAATCAGTGTTAAAAACTTATAGTTCATCATTTTAGATTGTGGCTTCTGCATTACATCGAGTTATGTCTAAAATCACCCACTCTTGCTCGTAAACGCTAAAACGCATTAAAAATCCTGTTGTTTCCTCTGCATTACATCGAGTTATGTTTACTATAATCGCTGGAGAAAGTAAATTAGTTATGGGTTTATAAACCGGTTATAGAACCGGAGCCAATATACTACACATGAGGGATTACTATGGTCGTACACAACCAACAGTTTTGGGAAAATATGAGAACCAATATGGTGATTCACAAGAAAACTCTCGATCTCGCATTTGGAAGAAGCTCTACAAAGCATTAGCAAATCCATGGTGAGCCGCAACTTTTCTTTGTCATCTTTTGCGGATGCGAAAACTTTAACGATCTCAAGACATGACAATTGATCCAAGAAATGCTTCATTTGGTCCAGCTATTTGATACTTCCTTCTTACTCTGTTAGTTTTAGGACCTTCACAGGGCATGAAGATAAACGAGAACATCCTAACAGGATTATCATGACGCAAGAAACCCTGAAGAAAGAGGAATGTTTATTAGGAATTGTATATTGCGTTTGGCCAACAATTTTTTCGGGTGTTGAATCATATCTTTGTTGTTGACACATCATTCCTCTTGCGTTGCTAGCTATAGCCATCTCCTGTTGTTGCTGCAAATTTCCAATAACCCCATCAATATATCTCTCTCAAAAGTCATAACACACACAAAAACATACTAGTATACATATAGTCTCAAATTGACGACAAATATATATATATATATAGTCTCAAACCAAAATATCATACGCGCCAAAGCCTTATATCAATATACATTTATACATGTTATGTTATGAAGATTATTTATAACATACCAGCTAGAAAATGAGTTGCCGATGCTCCTCTGCCATCATCTTCTCCTGTTCCAAAAAAAAAAAAAAAGAGAATGTAATCATATTATTACATATAGTTCAATCCTAAAGCTAACTAGTAAAGTATACTTAACCACGGCTCTGTAACTCTACGAGGTTGTCCTGTGTGAATCCAATCTTACGTCGTAGTCAGTCTCCGGTGAAAGCGTCTCTGTGAGTAGATTCAGTATACGGTGAAATCAATAGAGATCGATTCTGATCAATCATTCAATTTCCAATCTTACCGTTACGCATCATCATCGTCTCCTCTCTGGTTGCTTTTATTCCAATATCTTCATCGGAGTTTACCCAGACTCTGAATATGTATGTACTATTGGTTTTAGGGTTTAGAAGAGGAAGAAGAGGAAGTTTTGATTTCTCTATCAAGCAAGAAGAATGAATGAAGAAAAGCGTTGTGTTGGGAGAGAGAGAATAAACAAATTAATTATGAAGTTAATAAGACTAAGGAAAAAAAAATGTTAAAAAGAATAAGGAAATCGAAATTAATCTCACAACGGTCAGATTTAATTATATTTTTAGGGAAATTATGAGATTTGGTTTATGTGTTTTTTCTTTTCTTTTTTTCTTTCCTTCATCGCAACTGTAACAAATTGCCAACACTAATGATAGAAATAATTTATTTACCAAAATTTTAGTAATTTTTCAAGACAGATATTTTGAATGATTTGGTAAAATTTTCTCAACTTCTAAGATAATTTCTAAGCAGTACAGTTCTAGACTTTCAAGTTTAAATATTCCAAACATGCAATTCATATATTATACCTAACATATTCCCAAACCGTTAGAGTAACATATGATATATATATATATATATATATATATATATATATATATATATATTTAAAAGGAGTATTTCGAACATAATCAAATGTTAGATTTCATCTTTACAAAAATTAAGAATTAGAAAGAAAAACGAAGCCATGCGTATCCATTGAAATTGCTCTATTATGATTTTTTTATTTAATCAATTTTATTGTATCTTAAAATTATGATTAGAAAAAAAATTCTGATTAGACCGGAATCAAACCGTCAAGTATGTATGAAATAATAAAAATATTCTAATTTAGTGTTTCGTTGAAAAAGAAAAGACCGGTATCAAACCTGACCCGTATTCGAAATAATAAAAAATTTCGAATCAAAATAAACATCATGTTATTAGGTTTCATAAATTCTTTTTTATTATTTGCTCTTTTCTCCTCTGTTTATTTCACTCTATTATTTATATGGTTTATGTAGCGTATGAATCCCTATACTCTTATATCATTTTTAACGTTAACAATCATCAAATAACCAAATCAAAGTTACCAATATATCTTCATCTAAAGAAAAAAGGAAACATCTCCTCACCTTTTCCCATAACTAAGAAATAAATAAGAAGCAATAAGGAAACAACTCTTCACCTTTGCTCATGATTGTGAGGAAGAGATCCGATATAGCCAACGCGGAGAATGAACGGGTATATAGTGTATGTCATAAAGAACTTGAAATGGGTTAAGTTCTCCAGCAAAGCTCAAAATGTTACCATGGCTACTACCATATATGATATATGCTCCAAGTTGTTGTGAATCCAAAGCTTACCTTCGTTGAACTTATTAGATACTAAACATTTATTTATTTCTGCTCCGCATGTATATAGTACTAGCCTCAAATGGGTTTTGAAACTCCACAAATCCATCTCAGATGAATATACATGCAACATTGTATCATTTATGTTGCTTTTATCCATGTAAACAGCTTTGTAGCCTAAAATTACCATGTTGTCGATAGGTGTGACCAGACCAAAGTGTCTGAATAAATCATATTCTCAAGGAGATGGATAAAAATGAGGATAAGGATTAGGAGGGATCTCAAGACATTGTCGTGAAATAGTTTTATTAGCTATATAGTAGGTTATATTCTCGGTGATTGTATAAGCCAAACTGATCAATATAAAGCCTACATGCGTGTAACCCTCGAGTCTAACACGATGTTCCTTACTGTTCTCGAACTTATCGACTATGAAACAAGAGATGTACGATCCTAGAGATCGTGGAAGTCCCCAAATATTGTATCCAAAGTAAGCTATGACTTCTTTTGGAGAGTCCCTACAAATGTGTGACCATGAAGAATGCGAGTTTTTATCATGAGACAGGAAAAGCTCGCAAAAATACTGAGATTTAAGAATTGATTTCCATTGCTTGCAAACCGATGCACAAGTAGTGATGCTCTTTAGTGTTAATCTCACTAATATGCTAAGCTGCATGGACTCGGAAGCGGGTACGCGGAAGCGGAAGCGTTTGGAAGCGAGGTAGCGAATTTTCTTATAAAATTAGAAAACGGGTACGCGTTGGAAGCGTTAATAATATATATATATATATATATATATATATTAATATATATGTATCATAATTATTTTAACTATCTTAAATTATTCAAATAAACATATATGTTAAGATATTTAATATTTACATAGTATATACTAAATAAAGAACTAGGTTATAAATTTAATTTAATTTTATTAAACTGTACACATTATCAAATATCAAAATAAAAGAAAAGAATATATATATATATATATATATATATATAGAGACGGAAAAGGGAAAAAAATTAGAATTATAAAACCCTGTCAGATTGACAATCCTTTATTTTCCTTAAATACTAAAACTTCTTTAAAAAATAATTTAAAAATCGAAAAGAAAAAAGCGACGTATGAATTGGAAAACCTAACCGTTTCTTCTTCTAATCTTCTTCTTCGTTTCTTCTTGCAGTTCGCCGCCACACTTGACATTATATGTATCTTTGTTTATAATTTTTTATGAATCTACTCAGAATTAAACTATATATGGATACACGTTTAATTCATTAACAAGTGGTTTTGGCAAATCTTCGGACGCTTCCAATACCTCAACTTGTGCGCTTCCAAATAAGAGTCGTCTCTTCCTCTACGATTCCAAACGCTGCTTTTTAGGAAACGCGATTCCACCGCGATTCCGCGCGGTTCCGGGCGTTTCCGATTCTGCTTCCGCTTCTGAAGCGGGAATCAATGCTTGAGCCACGCTTTCGTGTAAGGTAGCTAATATGATTACCCAAAAGATCCTCTGTTAAGGAATCCATCTTCTTCTTCTTCTCCACTGACTCGGCAATTTTATTATTGGAATTAGTTTACTGTGATATGTAATTTTTGTTCTCCGGTATTAACGGTAATATATAGTATACAAGATTGAAGTCTTCTAAAAGCGTGACCTTCTCTTCTTTTCACTTTGCTTTGCATCATTGAGTTCCTCCCCATCAAAAGCCATTTCTCATTTGAAAAAAAGAACACACATATTTACTACTCTAGTTTCAAAGTCAAGAAAGAAAACCTTACATTATTGCTCTGCTATTTAATTTATTATTAAGCTCTTTTATTGAAAAATCTTATTGTGGCACTTGTTGTACAAATTTGGTTTTCTGTTGAATATAATTTTTCATTCAAACAATTTGATGTTAAATATTCAATCATTAATATTAATTAAAACTGTTTTGTTTCGAATTAAAAATTAAAACAAAAAAAAATCCCTACTTTCTCTCTAATGGCGACAACGGTGGCTCTTGGGATCTCCCGACAATGAGTTCGGTTGATCTGCAGGGAATTGAATGGTTGTTCTTTGGTTGGCTCGTGGGTATCTTCTGGTTTCAAAGATTGACGGATTTGGTGAATCGATTTGGTGATTCAAATCGGGAGAGGATCTGCCTTTCCTTTTCTTTTCTGGAGTTTATTTGTGTAGAAGAAGAGATTTGGGAGATCCTATCTAACGGATTCAATTCAATATGGTGAATCAATATATTGGGTGATTGTATCGTCTCCTTTGATCTTTTGCGATTCATCGCGAGGATTTGGGGCCATTCAAGTATCCGGTGGTGTGGTTTTTGGAATGTTGTAATCAAAGGCATTATTCGTTTGTTTGATTCTTCTCGAGACAACGGTGGCTATAATGGTGGTCTCGGTTCTTTTGTATCCCTCACAACTTTCTCGACTCTCTTAAGCTTATTTTTCTGGTTTTATCTCTTGGGGATGGCTTCCAATTTTGGTTTCTAATCATGTCACAGAGCTCTCTTGTAAAAAAGGGTGCCTCGGGGAAGAAGGTGGTGGAGCTGGGACAGAAGCGGAAGGTTAAGGTGCCATTCTTCGACAATGCTGCTCAGATAGCCGGTTATTCCCAAAACCGTTATCGGTTGGTGCATGAATCCACGCAAACAGGACTTGAAGACACTACTCTTTATGCTTCCTCGCATTTGGCAGCTTGAAGACAAGGTCGTGGGGGTTGATCTCGGTCTCGGGAGGTTTCAGTTTGATATTGAGAGCGATGAAGACATAGAGGAGGTGTTCAAAATGGAGCCTTTCCATTTCGACCACTGGATGGTGTCGATGGTTCGATGGCAGCTATCTATGGACCCAACCTATCCCTCAGAGATCACATTCTGGATACGCGTCTTGGGTGTGCCTCTTTAGTGTTGGGCGGATCCAACTTTCCGGTGTATTGGCGAAGAGTGGAGAATTGAGCAGGAGAACCACCAGAGAGCTGGCCGGAAATGGCCATAAATGTCAAGTTTCCAAGATAACTTACCTCTTTTAGAACTAAAAAGTAGGTAAGATCTAGAATTTTGAACAAAGCTAACTCCTTTGGGGTTGCTGAAAGGACCCAACCCGTTTTTTTTTTTTTAAACATGCAAACCGGGTTAACCCATTTCATTCAACCAGCTAAACCAGCTATTCTGGTTCTAATCAATTTAAACCAATTACACCACACCATTAATTTAAACAAAACCAAACATCAATAACCAGCAGAAGACTTAACCAGAAATCTAATAAAACAATTTCATTAAACCAGCAAGTTCAACCAAACATTATTCCATAAACATAATCACCCTATCATGCTTCTAAATTCCATTCTAACAGCCTAAAAATTCCAACAATAATCCAAAATAACAACGAGCGCCTAGATCATCCTCCTCTCTTCGCCATGATTCCACGGATCACACTTTTCCTTTACATGCATCACAGAAAAGAGATGCATAAGTATTTCAGAATACTTAGTGAGGCACTCATCCCAACTACTGGGCTATACACACAAGCAAAATCAATCATCATAAAGGAAAAATGAACAGAACAGCCAATTAATAACAACTAGGATAGCTGATGACGATCGGTGTCGATCGACACCCACCATAGGTGTCGATCGACACTCGCGGTTGATACCGAGCTCGACACTCCATTCGCGAGTCGCAATTATCCTCGCGGAACAAAACATTGGTGTCGAGCGACACCCACGATTGGTGTCGATCGACACCGACACTCTGCACTCGCTCTAGCTTCGTTTTCTCACTGGATCTCCTCTTCAAATCACCCTCATGAGCGAGTCTCCAAGGGGTTTCACAGGGATCAACCAACACATAAACAGCCAAACCAGCAAAGAAATCAATCCAACAATCATAAAAACACCCAAAATAATGATCAAAAATGCTTAGATAAGCCTTGGTCATGCACTCACCTTTTACAAGATTGAACAGCAACGAAAACAGGGAAGAAGAAGGAAAGATCTGACTCTTCTAACACCACACAGCACGGATCTAGCCTCTACTAGCCTTCAACCACCAAAATGGTACTCAAAAGCCTCCAACTCACCAAAACGGCACTCAAAAGCTCCCAAAAGATCACTCACATTCTTTGCTCTTTCTTCTTCTTTAGAAAACGACAAAAGCTCAATAATGAGGAAAACGGTGCACCTTTTAACCTTTAAGTCACCCTAGGTTTCCCCCAAACCAATCCCAATTGAACCGACAATTACAAAAATTACTAGTGTTGATCGACACCCTTCCTTGGTGTCGATCGACACAACCCGGTTTTCCAGACACGGGCTTTACAGTTGCATCGAAACTAGTGCCTGAGAAAAATAAATATTTGGTTCCTAGAATCACATTTTCTAATACTAAATAAACTAGTAAAGTACCCCGCGCTCCGCCGCGGTTCACCGGAACAGTAAATACTATTTGCATTACTACCAATAATAAATCCTAAGTATTAGTACCAAATTTTTAAGCTTACAATTACATGGCTATTTAGGTTAGGTGTTTAAGTTTGTATTTTGAAGATGAATCAATTTTGTGTATTAATATTTATTAAATTTTCAATTTAGTGTTTTCTTGGAAACCGATTAGATTGCAGATAATCGATATAGTTTATGATTCTCTAGATTGTCTTTACTTCATTTTCTGTTTTGGTAAAAAAGTAAATTTACATTTTACCTATCTATTTAGGGTTACCCGTATACTCAAAATTGTATAATTTACTTATCTTCCATAATAAATCTTTGCTATTTGGACTTGTACTTAAGACATTTTTATTTTGTTTAGAGTAATTGTAGTAACTATTATTTGATTTCAAGTATGATATTTTCAACCATGTTGTTTTAAAGCCATGCAACGGTCAAATCGTATTCGTTTAAGTGATCAGAAGATAAGTATTCGCAAATGCACATGTCAAATCTTATATTAAAACAAATATTATTTAAAAATTAAAATATTTCTTTTTGTTACCAAAGTATTGTTAATATAACATATAACGATTTTCTTTTATATTTAGATGGATATCTATGTAGAATATAGATTAACCTTAATTAAACATTCATATACAAATATATATATATATACATAAAAATAACTATCGAGACAAAATACTTTACATTTTAGAAGGATGAAAAGGTAATCCGATTTTTAAAGCGAACGTGAGCTCTTCGGACTACGCCATTAATATATTAGAGACTAAAAAAATTGTGATAATGTATGAAAATTAATGGTTGAAATTAATATATCTACAAAAGAGTGATTATAAAACTAATTTAAACTTTAAAATTGATAATTTATTTCTCTAAATAAAAGTAATTTTTTATTTTATTTTCTAAATATTAAATAAGGCCCACTAGCTGGCCCGCCCATTAGACTTAGGAAGCGCGCTTGAACACAACGTTGTTTCCCACCTCCAGCTGAGCATGTCCTAACAGACATTATTTTTTCATACAATGTGATGGGCCAGCTCGTTTGACTTATCAAATTATACCAAAAATATTTTGCAAAATATAAACCCTAATAAAATCATATAATCTTGTTTAGTTATAAACTCAAATTCACATATAATTTTGTTTAATTGTAAAATCTACATCTTAACCATTCTTTCATAAACCCAAACCGACACCTACCAAAAAATAAATAAACCCAAACCGACATATAATTTTACTTAATTATAAAATATAAACTCTAGTCCTCGTTTATAAACTCAAACCGCACATAAATTCGTTTGATTATAAAATATAAATCCTAACCACTCTTTTATAGAACCCAAACCATATAATTTCGTTTATTTATAAAATATAAAACCCTAACTACTATTTTATAAACCCAAACTGACATATAATTTTGTCAAATTGTAAAATCTATACCCTAATCACTCTTTTATAAACTCAAAACGACATAAAATTTCGTTTAATTGTAAAATCTAAACTCTAATCTTCATTTCTAAACCGACACCGACATATAATTTTAATTGTAATTCGAAATTCTAATCTTCTGACTCATAAATTCAAACCAACATATAACCTCGTTTAATTGTAAAATCTAAACTCAAATGCTTATTTATAAACCCAAACTGTTATTTTGTTTAATTAATAACTATACATATTTTGTCTCCTTAGTTGTTTTGTTTTCTTATTTTAATTTTAATGTACTTTTAAAATATAGTATTACCATTAGAGGTGTCAAACAGCTGCAAGCCCGCTAGCCCGTTGGACTTATGGAGCATGCTTGGACATAACATTTTTTCCCGCGTCTAGTTGGGCTGCCCGCACGGGCTTTAGTTTTTCAGGACCATGATGGACCAGCTCATTGGACACCTATAATTAGTGGCATATTATTATATTTTTATTGGCTAATAAAGAGAGGTGGCTAAAAAAGATGAATCTAAGAATTTTTGAGATGCTACACCTTATCCAAATTATCAATTCGGATATTTTCGACTTAACAACATCTTATAATGTTATTAACATCTCATGTAGTGATGTAGATATGAGCACCTTAGAATGTTTCTAAAATACTTATAGTATAAACATATTAACTAATATGCCAAGACCATATTATATGGTGAGATGTTGGATAACGATCGATGGTATATGTCAAATAATGTATATAAATTAGTAATATATATTTACCATATAAGTTATGTTATTTTTCTTTTAGAAACAGACATTAGTCATTTCCATCTTTATTATTTTAAAATTTTAACATTTATATATATCTTAAGTTTTACAGTTTTTATAGGATTCTAAATTGAAGAGTGTGTATTGTACCTTGGAAAACATCCACAACTCCCAATCGAATAACACAGATTAGAGTACAGCCTTGCAAAGTTCTGTAAGTCGTAAAAGTTCGCGGCCGGTGATTCAGTTAATTCACATTGTGAAATGACACCACTAATTTTCCAAAATCAATTAGTTTTATATAATTATCATATATTTTAAAATAAAATAAAATTAGAATGAATACTTTCATATTTAGAAACCAATACCTAGTGTCCCGAAGTTCAAAAGAAATTTTATGGTGTATGGAATATTCTTTTTCTTCATTGGCCTCTTCCTTGCAATTTTGATCATCATTCTCGACTTCTTCTTCGACGTCGTCTTCAATTAAATCACCTTTTTTAGAATCCTCATTGTCATTGGTTTCTTCTCCAGAATCGTCGTAAGCAAGATCTTCTTGCTTGTTCCCATCACTAGCAGATGATTCAATTTGAGATTCTAATTCCTCGTACTTAAGATCTTCTTCTTCACTGTCCTCAGTGTCGCGAACTTCATCACTTCCACATTCATCATCTTCCTAATCTATTAAAACCATTATTTTCTTTATAAATGTATGTTTATTTTTATGAAATAATATTTTAAAAAACAAATGAAATGGTTTTATACTTTCATTGATATCATTAAGATTTGAATTAAGGAGGGTATAGTTTAACTGATATCGATGATCTTCTCATCATTTTTTAATTAAATTTTTATGATGCTTAAACTGTTTTTAATCATAATATAGCACTAGATTTTACCTCGTGGTACACCACGAGTCTAGTAATTTATGCGTATATTTTATATAAAACCTCAATCGTTATAGTTTATATATACATACGAAGTTAGAATTTACCCCGTGGTATACCGCGGATTCATTTTTTATAATTAATTATTGAAATGAGCTAATTAGTTTAGTGATATGATTCCTTTTAGTTAATATGAATGTTACGATGTTATATATACGTTGTTGTATTTACCAAATATACCACCACATGGTAAATTTCTTGATTTTAATATAGGTGTTACTTTGTTATAGTATATATTTTGGTGTAATTTTAATAATTAATAGTATTTGTTATTGAATATATGTCGTGGAATTTGAAAAAAAAAACTATAAGTATGCGTATTTTTTTTAAAAAATGTACAATAGATTAAACTCATATTTGCTCAAATAAATATTATATTTTGATTCATCATTTATATTACTTAATAAGATTTGGTATATATGCTTGAAAAATCTCCAAATGCCATAATATAATGTTGTTTTGTAAATATTAAGTCAAA